CAATACAACTTGCCTACACACACACACACACACACCCTGGCTGGGTGCAACACAACTTGCCTACACACACACACACACACACCAATACAACTTGCACACACACACACACCACCACCACCACCCCCTACCCCCGGCTGGGTGCAATACAACTTGCCTTTTGACTATCTGGGCCGGCCACCCTTCCCTTCTCTTCTGCTTCACCAAGATCTGACAGCCCACACCTGCTGACCCCACACTGAAGTCTCGTCGCAGCCTCGACCCTCCCCCCACCCCATATTTGACTTCAATCCTTCCTGTGCCAGCCCCCCACCCCATGTGTGAGGGTGCTAGTCACCCACATACTGCATGGCACATCTTTTAAAGACAGCCACGAGGCTTCCTTGTTCTCCTTGTCCATCACAGAGTTAGTGCCCAAGAAGGAACATGCCGACGACAATACTCCTTTTCGGTTAGGTCGAGGGAAATGCCAGTGTGTCGTGCTCATTAGCTCATGGCTCAGACAATAGTTCCTACCTTGGGGCTGAGGCGGCTGCGTGTGTCCGTCTGCCCCCAACCCACGGGGAGCCCCTGGGATGGCTGAGAAGTGAGTGGGAAGCCTACCTGCACGAGCAGAAGGAGGTTGGTGTCCGGTAACGGAGACTTGAGCTTCAGGGCCTGCAGAAGTTCTAGCACGACACTCCGAGACAAGTAGAATTTATCCCGCTCCTGAACAAAAAGAGAACACAAGATGGTCAGTGGTCAGCAGGCTGGATCGATGTCCAGCGGGCTTCCTAGCGTCCCAAGTCAGAAATCAACACTGAGACGTCAATAGACAGCGAGCTGTCCGAAAGACAGAAAACTGAAACTAAGTCAACATTAAAACGCACTGTGTGTGTGTGTGTGTGTGTGTGTGTGTGTGTGAGAGAGAGAGAGAGAGAGAGAACAAGACAGGGAGAACACCCATGGCTTAATGGATAAGGTAAGCTGAGGTCATGGTTAATTACAAGGTGAGTTGATATAGACTCATGGCGACCCCATGTGTGCTGGGCAGAACAGGACTCCTTGGGTGGTCAAGGCTCATGACCCTTCAGAAGCAGATGGCCAGGCTCTACTTGCTTGGTACCTCTTGGTGGGGTTGAACCAGCAACTTTTGAGTTAGCAGTCCAGCGATCAACCATCTGTGCCGCCCAGCAACATCAAAGTGGGGACCCTCTGATGAGCTACACTTATGGCTCGGGTTCCTAATAAGAGGAACGTGTTCGGTGGCTGGTGGGGAGTTATTTGGGGGATTTTGAGCTCTTAAATATTAAAACCACAAGAGATGCTTCTTAGTCTCGTGGTGTCCCAGAAACTGCCCAAGTTAAACAAATGGAAAAGTATTGCTGTGAACACAGCATGCTTAGTGCAGTGGTTCTCAACCTTCCTAATGCCACGACCCTTTCATACAGTTCCTCATGTGGTGGTGACCCCCAACCATAAGATTATTTCCGTTGCTACTTCATCACTGTCATTTTGCTACTGTGATGAATCAGGCGACCCCTGTGAAAGGGTCATTCAACCCCCAAAGGGGTCGCGACCCGCAGGTTGAGAACTGCTGGTTTAGCGGGTAATAGGAGTAGCTGTTTAAAGGGCTGGCAGAGTGGGTTCCACATCCGGTGCTAACCACAAGATCAGCAGTTCGAAACCACTGGCCAGTCTGAGGGAGAACGACCCGGCTTCCAACTCCTGGCAAGACTTGCAGTCATGGAGACCCACAGGGTGGTTCTACTCTGTCCTGCAGGGTCCCTGTGAGCCTTCCAATGGCAGTGAGATCGATTTGTTTTTGTTTTTTATTAGGGCATGCTCTCAAGCAGACTTACGTTTTAGATGGACTGTCTCAGACATGCAGAGAAACAGGGAGAATGGAATCTATCCTGACCCAACCACCCTCTTTGTCACTTGTCACAGTTTGTCTTATGGGCTTCGCTCTTTGCATCATAAATAAACAGCTGCCCTCCCTTTCCTGAAAGGGACTTCAAATCCGAAGCTCATGATTTCATGAATGTTTCTATTCTTTTACCCCTTCTGGGTACCTCCGTTGTAGGGCATATTGTTTTAACTTCCTGAAGACCATACACACTGCGCATTCCTTTCTTCAACGTGTGATTTTCCCCGACCCTGTCTTTGCAGAATTGATCCCTGTGGAGCCAGGTGGCTCTAGTTCTCTCGACAACACTGTTGAATAATATTTCGTTGTGAAATAGATCTCAATCTCTTGCTCCGTTCTCCCCTAGGGAGAGGATGCTAGAATGGTTTCCATGTTGCAAGCCTTCCATTTGCTGATAAGCCTTTTTATGGCGGAGCACTGCCTACTCACTGAGAAGCCCCTGAAACAGACACGTCCAGTCGATGGATGAATGGAAATTGAACACTTGTGCCATCACCACCAGGTCAAACAGCAGAACAAGGCAAGCACCTTCCGAAACACCTGTGCGTCCTTTCCTGCTCGTTCTCCTGTGCATCTTGTTTCCTGCTCGGGGTCCCTGTGGGTCTGGTTCCTTTGTCTTGCCTCTCTGTTCATGCTTGTTCACAGTGTCTTGTCCCCTTGATGCGTCTAGTTCTTTGATTGAGGGCTGGAGGGCATGTTGGGAAATTCCTTCTAGAAATCATTGGACGCCTGGAATATTCTCTGCCTTCAAAGAGCTTTCTGGATTTGTCTCCAGAGGTCTGAGGGCACCGGTATTGCAGGGTCTTACTTTGACCCCTCCGCATGCTTGATGCTGAGCCGTGTCCACGTGAGGTCATGTGAACTTCTGGGTGACCTTTACTTTGGGGTGTGCCTGAACCAAGCCACGGGTGGAAACTGGCCATTGAATAAGAAAGACTGAAGAAGCATCGTTGCATTGGCTTTGGGGTGCTAGAGAAGAAGATTCAAGTACCCTGGACTGCTAAAAGCACAAATGATCCGTCTTGGAAGAAGACCAGCCAGAGTGCTTGTATTACTCTGGGTACTTTGGAGAAACAAATCCACAGCAACTCATGTATAAGAGAGTTTTATGTAAAGAAAATGTGCATCACGAAAACATCCCAACCCAATGCTGCCCAAGCCCACAAGTCCAACATTAACCCATTAACCCAACACCGGTCCACAAAGTCCTCCACCTCACAAAACAGAGACAATGATGCCGACTGCAGGAGGAAAGCTGAGTCAGTGAACGAACAAGCATCTCAGCACTAGCAGGGGTCTCCACACGGCTGCTCCAGCACCCAGGGCTGCATCGGGATAGGTCCATGTGGCTTCTCCTTGGGGATGTCTTGTAGGAAGTCAATCTTGCAAGCTGAAGCAGGGAACTGCTAAGGCAGCTGCACCCGGTGCAACCATCACAAAACAAGAGACCTGAGAACTAGAAAGGCGAGGCTTCACCACCCATTTATCCCTCCGCCTTTGAATTAGCCCCACATGTGATTATCGGCCAGGCTGGCACAATTAACTAACTCAGTGCTCCTTAGAGCAAGGCTGGCGAGACTCTCTTACATACTCTGGACATGCTGTCAGGAGAGACCAGTGCCTGGGGGAGGACACCATGCTTGCTAACGAAGAGTGGCAGGAAAAAAAGAGGAAGGCCCTGGAGGTGATGGGTTGACCCAGTGGCCTTTTTTGGTGGGCTCACGCCCAGGAGTAGCTGTGAGGACAGCAAAGGACACAGGGCCACTGCGCGTGGGAACCAGCTCTGTGGCAACAACAGCGCTTACTGAGCTCTCTTATCTAAGTTCCAAAAGCAAGTCGGAGGATGTTCTTGGGTTCACTGGTAATCATGTCATCTATAAAAACGGAGAGTTTCATGGATCCTTTCTGATCTTTGTATCAGAAGCCTGAGTGGCATGGTGGTTTGGTGCTCGGCTGCCAATGGAAAGGTTCAATGGCTTGAATCCACCAGCCACTCCCAGGAGGAAGATGTGGGAGTCTGCTTCCAGAGAGACTCCAGCTCCCGATCCCAAGAAGGCAGTCCCACTAGGTCCCATGGGATCGCTGAGTCGGGATCAAGTCAGTGGCAAGCAGTTAATCCCGGGCCCTTGTTCCTGACGCTCCAGCACAGGGTGAAGCGACATATGATAGGGGTATCCTTGACGTAGCCATGATTTCAAAGGGACGGCTGCTGGCATCTCACCATTAAATGCTAATGTTTGGGGTGGATATCCTTGACCAAGTTAAAGAAATTCCCTGCTATACTTAACTGGATTAGAAAGTAATCATAAATGGGTGGTGAATTACATAGAATCCTTTTCCTGTATCTATTTAAATAAGGATATAAGGGTTTCTTTCTTTATTCTGGTAAGATAGTGACATTAACAGACGTTCTAATATTTAAAACAACTCTTTAATATTTTAGAAAATGGCAATTGTGTCATGACGCATTATTTGCGATGCACAAATTTAATATTATTCCTTTGAACATTTTGCATCTATGAAATACAATCGGCCTATACTTTTCCCTTCCTCTCTTGCCTTTCAAGATTCTTTGTACGCTTGTTGGATCCAATTTGCTTATTCTATTGCTGAAATGTTCTAAAGGCGTCTGAAGTTTCCATCTGCGTATTACAGGAATGATATGTTATAGCTGCTAATTCTATGAATACACAAATCTATCCACTGCTGGACTGGCCAGGTTAAAACCTCCCTTGTGATTGTGACCCTGCCAATGTCTCTGTGATTTTGTTCATTTATGTGAGTGGCAGTGGGGATACAAGGTTTGAAACTGTGTTACCAGACATATCACTCAATAGTCTAAGAACTGCCAGATTTTCCGAGGGACTTGTTTTCTGTGATTTTTGGTTTTCTTTGATGAGCATTTTCTTAGAATATCACTTTAAGCCCCCTCGTCTTTCAACCTTTCTGAATGTGTATGTGGTTTAGGTGCGTTTCATAAATAACAAGTAGATGGATTTTTTTTTGAAATCTATGATGACATTTTCTGCCTTTCCAGTGGTAAGTCTAATTCACTAATATTTACTGTGATTCCTGAATATTTCAATATCTGAGAATGTTTTGATTTTGTCCATAAGTTTAGATTCTCTATGGGTCATTCCTCGGAAGTGGACAGCCTGTTCCTTCTCAGTCCTCTTCTGTTCTCCGTCCGGATGCTCTGCTGAAACCTGTTCACTTTGAGTGACTCTGCCGGCATTTTCAACACCAGTGGCCTAGCTCTGAGTATCACAGTAACACACCCCACAGTACCCGTCAGAACGCAACAGCAACAGCTGCAATACTAGGAATGTATTTCTATCGTCTTATTTGCTCTTATTCCAGCTTGTTATAATGATTCTCTTTTGTCTTGACTTTTGTTTACTGCTTTTCAGCCTACCTGTTTGAAACTTTTACGTTCTCTCTCTATACTGTAGGGTCTGCACTTAAATCCCTGGATGCATTTCCTCTGCTTTCCTTCTGAACACTACAGGGAATGTCTTATCTCCAGTCTTGACCTTGTTTTACAAACACATCAAATTGGTCACTATTATTATTATGACATATACTGTCAGCGAACCTAGATTTCTATGTTTAGCCGATTTCTCTAAGATCATACTTTCACACATTTCACTCCTTCCTTATGGGTTCAATAGCCTTCTTCCTATAGTACATCTTTTAAAAAATCATTTTATTGGGGGCTCGTACAGCTCTTATCACAATCCATCCATCCATCCATGGTGTCAAGCACATTTGTACATTTGTTGCCATCATCATTCTCAAAACATTTTCTCTCTACTTGAACCCTTGGTATCAGCTTCTCATTTTTCCCCTCCCTCCCTCCCTCCCTCACAAACCCTTGATAAGTTATAAATTATTATTATTTTTTCATGTTTTACACTGACCAATGTCTCCCTTCACCCACTTTTCTGTTGTCTGTCTCCCTAGGAGGGGGTTATAGGTAGGTCATTATGATCAGTTCCCCCCATCTCCCCCACCTTCCCCTTACCCTCTGGGTATGGCTACTCTCAATATTGGTCCTGAGGGGGTTATCTGTTCTGGATTCCCTGTGTTTCCAGGTCTTATCTGTACACGCTCTGGTCTAGCCAGATTTGTAAGGTAGAATTGGGATCTTGATAATGGCGGGGAGGAAGCATTACAGAACTATAGGAAAGTTGTATGTTTCACTGGTGCTATACTGCACCATGACTGGCTCATCTCCTCCCCCTATAGTCCATCTTTTAAGAAACCCCGAGAGCACTGAGGATAGTTGCTGGGTTGTCAACCAGAAGGTCAGGAGTTCAAACCCACTAGCCGCTCTGTGAGAAAGTTGAAGCTGTCTGCCCCATAAAGATGTAGTCTTTCAAACCTCATCTAGGGTTGCTAAGGGTTGAAGCTGACCCAGAGACAGCACATGTGGTTTTATTGTGGTAATAGATCTTTAAGTAATAATCTATCAGGTACAAATTTCCTTTTCTCCTAGTAGTATATTTATGAAGCTTTCACACTTAAATGACCGTTTGTAGCTGCTAGAGGATTTCAGGTAGACAGGTAACATTTTTTCCTTATAACTTTAAAGACATTTTAAATTATGTTCTGGCTTCTGTTGTGCTATTGAGGTTTTGTTGTCAGTCTGTGTGTCTTTCCTCATGGTTGCTCTTAGCACGTTTTGCTTTTGCTGTTCTTCCTTGGGCAGGTACAGATTTCAGTGTCTTTTTAAGACTTTTGGGGATCACTGAGATTCGTGAATCTGAGAATTAGTCATTGTCATCCATTCTGGAAATGACAAATATTCTACTCTGTCTTTTGGGTCCTTATCAGATTTATTCTCATTGTAGTCTTCATCTCTCTTGGCTGTATTCCAGACAGTTTCTTTAGATGTAAGCTGCATTTCACCAAGTCTCTCTCTTTGACTGTGTTCAATTTGCTACTTAACCTATCTCTTGAACTTTTTATGTCCGTGGCTATTTTCGCTTCTAGGATTTCTGCTTGGCCCAAACTTACTCCGCTCTTTGTTTTCATATGACTAGATCTAGTCTCATGTTTTTGATTCACTGTTTATATGCTTCTGTACAGTAGTCCTTGTAGCCTCTATCAGACAGTTCTAATAATGGAAGTCTCTAGGGGAATGATCTTGCTATTTCATGACTCTGCTAATCTGCTTCACACTGTCTTATTTCTATACGTGCTTGATAACTTCAGATCATCAGCTAATGTTATCAGGACTTTCACTAGGGGAATTTTGGTAGGCCTAGGTCCAAGATAGAGCTCTCTAGAGAGGTCAGAGGCTTGCTTTGAGCTTGCCCTCCCAGACACGCTAAGGTTATTGCTCACCATCAATGCAGCTTTCTTCTGAGGTGGACAGTTTCCAGAGCATGGAGGTAGAATCCAGGTCCAAAGCATTTGAAGACAGGCCTGTGGCCACTAATCATCAAGGAAACTATACATTTTTCCCCTCCCTGGTGTTCGGGGTGAGACAGACACTATTCTCTGTCACCCTCAGTCTCATCGGTTCACCTCTTTTTCTGGTCTGGTCTTTAACGCTCAAGCCACCACGTCACCCAAACAAGCAGCTCCTCAGCCTCGGGCTGCTGCCCCATCGGCCCTCCGCTCACCATCCTGCTCCTCCTTTCCAGGCTTCATTTTTATACCTTGAATTTTTAAAAAATCATTTTATTGGGGGTTCATACAGCTCATCACAATCCATCCATCCATCCATCCATCCACGGTGTCAAGCACATGTGTGCATTGGTTGCCCTCATCATTCTCAAAACATTTGCTTTCTACTTGAGCCCTTAATATCAGCTCCTCATTTTTCCCCTCCCTCATGAACCCTTGATAATTTATAAATTATTATTATTTTGTCATATCTTACACTGTCTGACATCTTCCTTCACCCACTTT